TTTAAGGTATTGAATTAAATAATTAGGCTTAATGAAGATAAAATATATGAGGTGGTCACATTTGTTGTGCTGACATACTGTATTTATAATGATGAATCCCAGAGAGGCCACTGATAACCTCATTTATTATATATACAATGATTTTATATCCTTTATAGCGGTAAAGGAAGTGCGTTGTATATCCTCTTAAAGGCAACAGGTTCATAAAATTTGTTAAAATTTTTGACACTAATAAAATTGTACTTTTGATTTAAATTGTTTCGAGGGTTTGAGTGAGTTTAGTTTGTACTGAAGTTGACTGAAAAGTCTTTCATGTTGATTTTAAATGATTGTCAGGCTTGTCTCTAATATCACACATTATTCAGACCTGCTGAGAGTAATTATGTAAAAATGTCTGCAGCTGCTTCCCGTACATCCAAATCTTCCTGAAGGTCACTTCTGTACTGTAATCTCTTGTGCTTTTCTATTGTTCACAGGTTTTGTGTTGTATTCAAACTTGGGTTCCGTCTGTCTGACTGGGGCACATTTATTACAGCTGGCAGGCAGACAGTCCTTTGTTATCCGTTGTTTTTTATCAGTTAAAAAAAAAAAGTGAGACAGCTATATGGGATTGATAACAGAGGCGGCCTGCTTTGGTGGCAGATCCCGTCGTTCTAATAGATACCTGATATACTGATGTGTATCCACAGCACACAAAATGTACAAAAGGAATAGAATTTGGATAGTTGTTTGTGGTTTGACATATAACCCTGTGGGAAGACAAATGAATGACTTTAATGATGGAGTACTAGATTTAGAAATTACCTTTTTAAAGTACCTTTAACAATGATTTCATTAATTTAAGCATAATTACTCGTACAACACTAACAACAAAAGAGTTATATCTCATTCATTTGCTCATGTTTCCCTCCTCTGGCATTTTCTTCCATTTGTTTTGAAACAAAATTGGACAGTGAGCTGCACCTCCTTCCCTCCTGTCTGATTAAACACCAGATATTATTTAGATATCACACTACTATATTGATGCAACTGACTGAAGTTAAAAGAAGATGAAAGAAAACGCAGTCCTTTGTTTTGGTATAAAAACCGACTCCTACTTGCGAAATCCTTAAGATAAACTGCTTCTCTTCGTCAGAAACGGCTCACATTTGAAGGACACAGAACAAACTGTCCATTGTTGGTCCACACTTTATTCCCTTTCTGTACAAGCTTCATTATTGCTGCCTCATAAACCGTCTGTTATTCAATAACCATCAACTGTCAGGGGGGCAGCGATGGCAGAGGGGACTCAAGACACTTCACTTCTCCTGTGAACCTAAAAAAACTCACAAAATGGGAACAATTAAAACAGAAGAGACACAGTGCTGCACTGATACGACCTTTTAATATACTACATTATTGTACCTGTATTATTCCACTTCATTTAAAAACTTGCTGCATTGTTTCTGCTTATTGTTCAATATTAACTATAAAGTTATTTTAGAAGATTACACTTAAGAACAGAAGGAATCTGCAGCTCTGTGAGGCTGTACTTCAGCATGACGATGCTTTGAGCTATATACTAACCAACATGCTCACAATGACTGTTAACATGCTGAAGAGGGTAAAACCTTATTCACCATCGTAGTTGAGCTTGTTAATATGCTAACATTTTCTAATGAGCACTGAACACAAAGTACAGCTGAGGCTGATGGGAATTGGGGCTTCAACTAACGATTATCTTCATTGTCTATTAATCTGTCGATTATTTTCTTGATTAATCGAGTAGTTGTTTGATCTATAAAAAGTCAGAAAATGGTGGAAAATGTTTCCCAAACTCCAAGATGATGTCCTCAAATGTCTTGTTTTATCTACAACCCCAAGATACTCAGTTTATTGACATCATGTGATGGACCAACCGAAAGACCAATATTGCCATCCCTAGAGCAACACCACTAAAAACTTTCTAACTATGCAGGTAATGTGCAAAGCATTTACCATCTTCTATTCACTACTTTGTATGAGGCATTGTGGAAGAAATTGAGTGTAATAATTATCAATAGAGAATGCCTAGATCTCTGGAGGAGAACCAATCGTTTTAAAGTGTTTTCATTTACCCGCAGGTACACTTGTGAACGAAGGGACATTTGTCTTTCAGCCAGGTAAAACATTGACCACACTCAGGCTTAAACGTAGGATACACTCAACATACAATAAACTATGTGACGACAAATGCTAAAACTCACTCCAGAAGCTCACTGATAACAATGTACATCAAGTAAATGCATAATATAAAACCTGGAATAGATCCAGATCAATCATCATTGTTCCCATTAAATGAATCAAATCAGAGAAAGTACAGTATTTAAATGGTATTTTATTTGTCATACATACATAAAAAGTCACATGTTTTTATTCAGGTTTACATTGCATACAAAATGCGATTGTTGGGTGAAGAATGTTCAAGTTATACACAAAGTTTATAGATAGCTGCCTTTTTTCCATGTTGCTACATGAGCTAGTTCTCCTCTGGGTTTCCTCTCATTACACTGGGAGTTACGTCGATGCGTCTGGACAAGCTGGAACCAAACACAGAAAGTGCCCCTCAGAAGTATTCTACAGAGAAAGAAGAAAGACAGTACACAGTGTTAGATGAATGGGTGTTTTTAAGGCAGTGCAGTACAGTTTCTCATGCTTCTCTCCCACCTACCTGTAGGTTGTTGTGGCATACAGGATTATGAGCCCCTGTCAGGTGATTGTGCACACACTTCCCAAAGCGGTGTAGACAGGAAGAATCCGAGTGGGTGCAGGTCTGAGGGCATGATGGGGGTTTCAGCAGCAGACAGCTTGAACAGGAGGTGTGTTGGCAGGAGCCCTGGCACGCCGTCTTATCCAGAGACACAAACCTACAGAACGGGAACATATTTCTGTTAAAATCCAGCATGTGAAGACATTAAGGCAGGGGTCTCAATCCTCCCACCACTTGCCCACAACATAATGTTAAAAATATAATATAATCCAGCCTGCAAATCAATTACCCCTTTGTGTATACAATTACAGTTTTATCACAAAAAAACATGTATTTTATTTGGCACAAAATAATGGCAAAGGTCAAAGATGCCTGTGCAAAGGGTTGATGAGAAGAGAGCAGGTTTCAGAGCGTCTGAGATTATGTGGTAAGTGAGTTAGTCGCCAAAGCAGGAAACTGAAGGGCGGTTTCTGATATTCTTCTGTGTCCAGAAATGTGTCCCTTTTTGCACACACAATGGCAGAACGGATCAGCGAGTCATCAAGTGTGTTATGTACATAATATATCAGTTATGCTTAAACTACTGCATATATAAAGTTTGCATTTTGATGTGAGTATGATGTTAGTTAATTATGTAAGAAATATTGTGCTTTCTTTTAGTACTTGAACATTGCAGTTCCACCTGTGAGATGACAATACCAGCAGTGGCACCAAGCCAATTTGAGTTCGAGACCCCTGCATTAATGGAAACACAACTTTTTCCCCCAGTTACCTTGCAGAGCAGATTTCAGAGGGGTTGGCCTGACAGTATTCCTTGGTGCACTCTGGGTGACAGCTCTCTGGATTCAGGGGTTCAATCACTGCGCAAACACACATTTTAAATTTAGTATTTACATTTTTTCCAGAACAGCAACAAAGCATGAAAATCTCTTATCTCGTACTACGTCTGATACCGTATCAATAACGGTGACAACTCTTTTTATTATGAAGAGATAAGAGGTGTAATTATGGCTTAACTGTTAGCAGGAACCTTTGAATCAAAGGAAGCCTTGACCACACTATCAGTCTTCACAGCTCATAAACAAGATTTACCACATTGGCACCACTCCCACTGCAGGGACTCAGTAGTCAAATGTACTCTACATGAGTACAGTTTTAAGGTGAGTTTTCCATTTTATGCTACTTTATACTTAAACTCCACTACATTGTACTTTTTAACATCGCTACATTTATTTCACAGCTATTAGTTACTTTGCAGTCAAGCATTTTACAAAATATATGATCAGTTTTCAAAATATGATGCATTGCCACAGGTTTAACTACCCAACAGCATAGTAAAAATAGTGAAAAAAAATTAAACGCAGTTTATATTTTAACTAATCTCTAATAATAATACAATATTATACCAATACAAATATAACACTGGTGGGAGCAATTGTACTGCATGATGAGTACTTTTATTTTTGATCCTTGCTACTGTACTGTGTTGCGGTATTGCATGTTTTTTAGGCTATATTATTGACTTTTTGTTTTTTGTAAAGATTTGTTTTATTGAAAGATGCCCCGTTTACATATCAATGTGTAAGATACATAAAAAGTTCCATATGTGCATACAAAAATACAATTAAAAGGGAAAATACACATATATTTAAACAGATACACAGAAATTTGTGCATAAAACACATTTTTTTATTTTATTTAAATATATGTACAAGTAAAGTTGTTACAATAGTCATATAGTTACATGTTGTGATGCAAAATTAAGACATTGCTGCATCTTTTTTTAAAAGCAGTGGTTAAATTTGAAAGAAATTTGGCTCATGGTGGCATATTAAATGAATCAATGATAAAAACTAATCCCGGGCGCACTACTAATTAAGGTTATAAACTATAATCTCACCTGCTTCACAGATCCCTTTGCGCTCTGCGTCTGCTTTGTCAGTTGCTGAGTCCTGGTAAACACACACCAGTCCCTCATCACACTTGCCCAGATAGTCCCACGTTCCTCCACAGGTCTCCCCCTCTGTTCTGGCACAGACGGGGCAGCAGCCACAGACACCTGTCGTGACACCACCTTTACACTGGAGCTTCAGCGCACGCCGGGAGGAGCAGTGGATCTGCTCGCAGGGAGGGCAGTGGAGGGCCTGAAGCTGCTGAGCTGCTCCAGAGGGCATTTCCTCTGACCCCAACGCCCCCAACAAGGCACTCCAAAAGAAGAGCATCCACATCCTTGATCGGCCTAATGTTATTCTGGGGTGAGAAAACCTGCCAGGACCTTTTATACAAATGTTGGCCCATGGGATAACACACCACAAAGGCTTCATAGTTTATGAGCCACAGCCTCCACCCCCCACCAGCAGCCAATAGATGAGGGCATTTAGTGTAAATACACAGTTAATTATCCCCACGTCTTATCTTCACACTATCAACATTATGTTTTGAAATAATTCTTTCTTCTGAACTCCGTTAGATAAGTCTGATGAAGACTGACCCCCTTTGTATTTGGAGTCACATGACCTCTGGGAGAGTAATTCAGTGCACACCTACAATCAGGTAATGACCTATTTCTTGAAAGAACAAAAGGATTAAGACATCAGCAGATTATCTGATCAGGACATCTCGTAATTTTCGTATCTCTGAATAAAAAACTCAGGGGCAGCTTGTGTACATAACAATAAAAGATGGCCACTGAACATCAATCAAGTTATACTGGAGGTTTCAATATAAATGCCTTTTTTTCTTTTTATCTGGCTTCTGTTTTATAGGGCGGCGTGACACTGGAGAGTTCAACATGTTACTTAAGTATTTCAGGGATTCTAGGTGATCAAATAATTACCACCTTATTAAACATACAAAAACAGCACAACCATATTAATATAACAAAGTAATAGCACTTATTTGGTAACACTATGAGGAAATGTCCTGCTTAAAAACACAGAAAAAATAAAGCAGGAAAACATAAATGTACAGTCACTAATATCTATGTAGTGTATGTTGTAGACGTTGAGATTGCCACAAAGTTAAATATAAACCAGTTTTCTCAATTGTACGCTCTTCATATGAAATCCAAAATTTGAAACTATAGTCGAGCCACACATACCTTTGTTGACAATGTGACTTACTGTAGGATAATTTTGCTATCCTACTTACAATCTTTAGAATTGTTTGCAAAAGGTCACATGTGTAAAGAATGTTCCAGAAAACAAAACAAAAAAGTCAAAGTCAAAAAAGATTTAATGGATTTGACCTTTAAATGGGTAGTTTGTGGTAATAATAAACTCATCTCTGTGTTTATTATTAGCTTTTAAAACCCCTAAAACACCACCGGTCACCATTATATTAAAAATATAATATTGAAGAACACATTTTAATGATTTGAGTGGGGCTGTGCTGTGTGATGGTTGTGTGTGTGTTTGTCCTTGATGATTTAATGTAGGTATAGGTATGTATTTGACTATAATGCATTATTTACTTGCCATCATTTTAAAGTGCAGCTCCTGTCACTAAAGCTATGCAAAGTCACTCAGGACTGTGGTCCCCAAATGTGCAGCAGAAACAAATATGAAGTTGTTTGATTAAAAGCAGTCAGATTTTGAAACTTTTACGTGACTCAGATTAATCCAGTCATGATTGAGTGTTCCTAGTAAATATCATTAATGGCCATTTTTTAAACAGTGTAGCATTAATGTCACTAACATTGTTTAATACAGCAACACTGCAGCTTACTGTTATCTACACAGGAGAGTGAGTGCAGTGTACAGCAGATTACGTTAACGTTACGGAACCTTTACTTTTTTTAATTTTAATTATTAGTAGGAATCTCTGAGTCGTATAAAAATGTATTTATTTTCAAGGAAACCATTAAGTAACACTGAATACAACAGGAGTGATCATTCAATAGTCAATAAAACTTGTGACTCCTACATCATAAAGATCCCACATACAAGACGTCTTGGAAAACAAGATTTCAAAGCAAACATGTTGGCAATTTGCTGGTGCTACAATTTCATTTTTTCCCCCACATAACAAATTGAGGTGATACACACCTGTGTAGAAAAGTGACAACATTTTACATCAACTTACAAAGGGCTGGATGTCAAAGTGCAAGATGCCTGAAACCCACCCACCCCAATTCACCCCACCCCACCCCTCATTAAAGAGGACGATGGAGGTGCTGAAATCAGAAATGGACTCTGAAATACAAATCTCCAAAATTATAATTCAGCCACTATGGCTTTGTAATCAGTTGAGACTCTATTCTAGATTACATTACATAACTTTAAAATATTGTTTCAGAAACATTTTCCTCCCAAAGATACATTTTTTCAAAACTGCACCTTATTACAGACAACTGCATGTAATGGAGTAAAGCATCACAGGAATAATGCAGGCATACAACAGAAAAGCAGCTGTTTATCAACAACTTCAAACAAAACACACTAACATTTTGTTGGTTCATAAAAGCAACCGAATCAAAAGAATACATACTAAAATCTGAAGTGAAAATAAAATGACTTAAAAACCTTGAAGAAGAAGAAGAAAAAAAAAAAACTATGTACATATATTTACAAGTAAATAGATTGAATATTATACAGGTTTGACTGGCCGTTCAAGGTCAGGCTGAAGCCACCAAGGTCCATATAATCCAACACTGCATGACATTCAGATTTGTCAATCCAAAATGGTTCTTAAAAGACAAAATACCTTCCAGGAGGCCGTCTTCAGAGTCGCACTAAAAAGAAATGGCCGCCGCAGCGGGCAGGTCTGTTTGTTCCGAGTCTGGTTTGAGTGTGTATAAAAACATCCAGAGCTTTTTGACTCAAACATAGCTTTACATTTTTTTTGCATGATTTAAAAAATTATATTAATAATAAGAATAATAATAATGGCAATGTTGTGTTTGCAAAGAGTAATCCATTGAATATTTCCTTCTGGGGGCAAGGTTTTTTTTTTTTCCAATGTTGATACCATCTTGAACTGAAAGACAAACGCGAGGTCCTCAGTCTGGAGGAAGGAGGTCGTGCAAACGAAACTGTTGACGGATGTGCGGCCTGACATCTTCATTCTGTGATAAAGAGAGTAAACAGATGGGATCATTTCTAAAACTACAAGAAATCAGTTCAGAGACGACTTAGACTTCTACTTTCACAGTGATGATTTTAATATGTGGTGTTTTGTATGTTTTTTTATACACACACACACACACACACACACACACGCTGCCGCGTTACCAGCGCTACCAGTCAACACTCCATATTTTGTGGTCTGTGGGACTTG